GTGTTCCCATGTATCAAAGCTTTCGCTCTGCATGCTGGCTCGACTTGCCTGCTTGCTCACTCTTGCCTGCTGGCTAAACTCTCTGTATTCTACGAGATAGTACTAGACCTCAGAAATGAGTTTGCAGCTTTGGTCTTGGAAACTTCTGGTCTCGCAGGCATCCGGCTGCAGGTTTGAAGGTAGGAGCCATGGAGAGCTCCCCCATTTGCCGTGGGCTTCCGGTGTGGCTGCATTTGCTCATCCGGGAAGAGCATGGGTGGTGTTTGGATGATGATTATATGAATTGGGACCACCCGCGAAGGAACCTGGATTTCGTGCTGACCTATGACGGCTTGGGCAAGGATCGTGTGGTCGATGAATGCAACAATGCTTCTTATCTGCAGTTGGCTCTGGCTTCTTCTGTGTCTCTTCGAGTTTCAGTTGCATCATGTTTTCCAGCAAGCAATATACCTGCTTGTCCGAGTTGAACATCCGGACGATGAGCCTCTGCAGCACCTTCGCGACCTACCAGGACAAAGTTATCTGCAGCTTGTCTTCATCAGTTTTTGGTTTGTCTTGGCTCCCCGTAGAAGAAGACACTCAGCCGCACATAGTCATTTTTTTGCATATCCGAGGTGTGGGCTATGTGCTGCGACTTCGCAGAGGAGGGCTTCGCTGGGGATCGCCAAAGCGGGTGCCAGCTGAAGCTGGGAGTCTCGGCTTTGCATTTCACATGTCACCTCATAAGTCTTGGTGCTTGGATGTAGAAGTCTGTGTCTCTTCTCCGAGGCGAAGGTTTCTGGAGCCTCGCCAAAGTGATGTCTCCTGCGAAGCTTGACTGAATAAGTTGGCATGCACATGGTTTTGACTCACTTTGCAGATACGACCTGAGGAATGGGAGGCCAATCTGATGCAGCTGTGCTTCAACTGTGGCATTTATACTGTCACGGAGCAGCCTCGAAGCAGCTGCATTTTTTATTCTCCGTCGATGCTGGTGTCTTGTCTCGAAGCAGTAGACTTGTCAAGCGCCGCAGCAGATTCTTCAAATTGGGTTCAGTTTTGCTTCTGAGGCCACGGTGGATGCCACTGGTTGCGAAAAGACGTTCTTGGCAATGGGTGCCTTCGGGCACAATGTGGTGTTGCTTGGCTTTCACATGGGAGGTTTGTTTCTTCAGGAAATATTTATCTGCAGACCTGGACCCTTGTGGGGAGACAATGTTTCCATTTGAGGCAGCCGACAGTGTTGTGTGGCACCCACCGCTACTTGTTGCGGGTGATGAATGCCATCGGCAAGCAGCCGGATATGAGGAGTGTGCCACCTATCTGAAGCCGTGCGGAATGTCTTGCTGGCCTTTTGAGTGTTGCCTTCAGAGTCACTGAGAAGAACATGCAGTCCACTAACCAAGGTACTTGAATCGTGCAACGACGGCTCGTGCTGGTGCAATCCGTGGCGAGTTTGGTGAGGAGCTCCCAAATTATTCGAAGACGTTTGCAATGGCTGTTTCCTGTCTCAACAATGCAAGGAGTGCTTGAGTTGCTGTCTTTGGTGCATTAATCAGAGAGCATCGGTAATGGCTGTGTCTCTTTGTCGGCTGTGTGAGGTTGCAAAGTGTGTGGAGCTGGAGATGCATCACCGGCCAATTGCATTGGTGGAAGGAGTGGATCAGGTTGTTCGCAGTTTGGCCTCGCTCCTGGTGGCTTTGGTCTCCCGACAACAAAAGCAGCAATCGGCTCCTAGTTACTTACTTGTACTCGGTTAGCAGAGTTGCCGTGATGTTCTCATTCATGTGGTGCATACAGTCTTACCCAGGACAAAGATGATCGTCACATGTTGGACGTGAGGGCGGACCGGCCCATTGATCTACGTGCCTTTCGGCTTGCCGTGCTGCACTGCCAAGCCTTGCAGGCAGGACCTGAATTGATTGTGTTGGGCTTTGCTGTCTTGGGGCGGTTGCTTTTATCTGTGTCTGTCTGGGTCACAAGACTCGTGTGTGTGATTTGACTGTGCGACTTTGTTTTACCAATGCCCAGTGGGTGTGATTTCTGATGATTTAGCATAATTAGAAAGGAGGGCACGGTTTCCGGAAACCCAGCCAGGATCCTCAAGTAGAGCTCGTGCCAAATACTGCCGCATTTCGACTGTCATGTGCTTCGTTGAGGTGAACCAGTTTCTGCGGCCAACGGCTCCGGGTGGCGATGCCCAGGCAGGACCCTTGAGCTTAGATTGTAGACAGCCCACCCCAGCCCCTTGGCATCTGGCCTTGGCTTTGTTTCGGGCACGGCGAGACTCGGGCTTCGCGAGAAGTCTTTTCAAGCAGCTGTCTCCTTGTCTCAGAAGACACGATGAAGTCTGCTCCACTCTTGGCTTGTCTCCGCGGATTAGCCGCGAAATGTCTCTGGCTACAATCAATCTTCACAAGGCTGCCCATTCGCAGCATCTCAGAGAGAAGAATAAGTCTCCCAGGGTCTTCGTCTTGTCTCGGCGGATTAGCCGCGAGATTTCTGAGGCTTCTGTCTTCCCAGCACTGGCAGAGTCATCTTCAGTCTCATACCAACATCAGAGCCTCGCCAGATTGTCACGGTGACACTTGGCACGTTGAGTTTTCTTATCCCTATCTCGGGGGGTGTTCACTGGGCAGGCCCCGGCTCCGCGAGCTCTGGTCCCGATTCCTGCTGCCGCTGAGGACGATTGGCAGGTCCTTGTGCCTGGTTCGCAACCTAAATAATAGTGTAATGTCAAGGTCAGGCACGAGGTCTTCTTTCAGTCGTGATCATAGGCTTTTTCTTGCTTGTTGCTTTCACGGCGGGTGGGTGGGGGGTTGCTCCGAGGGATACGAGGACTCCGACTATGATCTTGATCTTGTCTGAGTCTTGGCCGAAGGACCGTCTTTGTTTGTTGTCGTGAGTTTCTGTGAAAGATCCAGCGAAAAGATACCGACTTTCATGGTTACACACGGCAGGATGCAGCTGGGCATCTCTATGATAGTGTGCAGACGAGCACACACCGATGACATGTCGAATCCTGGCTGGTTGGAGTGTTTTGTCTTCGATCCTGAATCATCATTGATGGGTAAACTAGCTGTGCCTGCTGACAGAGAGCGAGGTCACGATTTTGGCCCCTGCAGAGCTTCGTGGAGGAGGTGTCTGCGAGCCTTGGCTGCGAAGAGCAGCATAGTTTAGAGGAGACCGGCTGGTCTCGGCCACGCGAAAAAGAATCGCCTTGGAAGCAGATCTGTGTCTCTGCTGCATGCATGTCCTAGTCCTAATAAAAGTCTCGATCATGGTTTCCCTTTTGGAGTCAGTGCTCTGGAATCATGCTGTATCTCTCTTCTTTCTGTATGGCCTGGGAATACTTGTGCTTCTAGCTTCCTCCTGCTTCGTCTCCAATTTCATTGGGCATTGTCAAATGTCTCAGACTTTCAGCAGCCGGCTGGAGATTAGCCGCATCCTGTGTGTCTTCCTCTCTTTTGAGGGTTTCAGTGAAACGGCATGCATGTGCTTGGCAACGGTGGGAACTTGGCTTCTGCCGCAGCACATGATCGCTTGTATTGCCTAGCTGTCTCCTCAGCTCAGTGGCCTGGTTTAGCCTTGGGACGCTAGACCAGAGATGTCCGCGAGATCTCGTGCTCCAACAAGGACACACCAAGACACACTGTTGTCTGCTCATGTCATTAGGTTAGGAGGTCTAAGCCTTTGTTTGCTCTTCGATCGAGGACCAGCAGCACCCGCTCTCTGGAAGCGACGGACGGGGACAACAAGGAAGCATCCATGTTTATGCTCTCGTCGGCTCAGACTCGACTGGCGAAGGCTTTGTCATCAGGCAGCTTCACTGGTCTTGTAAGTGACAAAGCACATGTCTTTTCCTTTCTGGAAAGAAATGCTTGAGGTGGCTTCGAAGCCCAAGCTCCGGCCCCTGCAAAGAAGGAGAAGAAGAAGAAGCGATCCCCGATAAAACATAGACATGTCATGTGCTTGTTGTATCAATGAATGAATCAATCAAAGCCGCTCTGGAATTTAGTTTTGGCTGAGGCTCTTCCTCTTCATCTCCGGAGGGCTCAGATGACTGCAGGGAGGATGCATCGGATGTCCTGTCTATCTTTGCTATGACTCAGAAGGAGTGGGCTCGCTCCTCTGCTCAGATACGCTTCTCGGACCTGAGCTGCAAGCAGATGGCTGCTGCCATGACGAACATGGCTCCTTGGGTCTCTGCCGCCGACCTCCTGAACATAGGTGGCGAGTACGCACCTTGTCTCCTCTGAATCAAGCTGTTCCAGGACTATGCAGCTCTCGCGAAGTGCTGCTGCTAGTGTGTGCAGCTATCTAAGGAGGCTCTTTGTGCACAAGGTGTGCACCGCTGCAAGAGATCCAAGGACGTGCAGGGCCAGAACCAAGCCATGGTAAAGGCGGTGCATGGTTTGGGCATGTTTGGGCCAGCAGTGACTCTGTGATTTCTTGTTGTCTACTCAAGTCCTTTCCTGATCAGATGAACATGGCCGGAAACGTGTGGAAGAAAAGGCTGGAGCAGGTGCTGGAGACACGCATCTTGGAAGCAATTTCTAAAACACAACAAACTGACAGAGTGGCTGTGTGTGCTTTGCTGTGTCTTGGCCAGCTGATTCGAATTTCTGGTCAGCTGAGTTTTCCAGAAGAAGCCCTCGGAGATCACAGTCAGCAATGCCAGGAATATGGAGGATGTGACTTCGCTGCTTGTCAGTCTGCTGAAGACTGTGAAACGGTTCCTCGGCTTCCTTTCCATCCTTTCTTCTTTGGCAAAGGCAGGAGGTCCATGTGTTCAGCAAACCATGGATGTTTGTGTGTGACCGAGGAGATTGAAGAAGACCTCCGATGAGTTCTCAAAGCTCTACGACGACACCATCGCCGAGCTTCGGAAGGAGCTTCGTTTGAGTGTTTCTGCTTCGTGTCGCATGTTCTTGGTCCATGGCACTTGTGATGTTCGAGCAGCGACCCGTCTGCAGCAGTCTCTGGCCTGAAGCCTCCGTGTTCCCTGCATCCTGCGAACCATGGCTGACAGCTCGGGCGGGTCGGCGGGCTACGAGTGCCACAAAAAGGAGATGCTGGGTTTGAAGCGGTCGCTGGCCGAGATGATCAATGAGCACATCCGCTCTCGCGACGGGGAACAGGACGAACGGCAAGAGCAGCAGGATGAGCGGGAAGAGCGGCTGAACACCTGGGAAGAGACGCTCAACGCTCGGCAGGAAGACTTGGAACGACGTGAGAATGCCGTCAAGGAGGCAGAGAATGCAGATGAGCCTCCCCCGCCGCCGAAGCCTCAGTGGACGCGAGTGAAGGCAGGATGGCGAGAGGTGTGTTCGACCTGCAAAGTCAATTTTTGCAGTCGCCCCGGCGACTGCAGTGAACACACTGATAATCACCACAATTGTGCCCGCTGCCACAGAGATTGGGCCCAGTACGGATTTAAAGGAAAGCAGTGGATGAAGGCAGAGAATAAAGGCGGCAAGGGGAAGAAGCCCTGACCGCTGCTGCTTGCCCTGCCAGATCCAGGCTACGGTGCTCGTCCGGGAAAAAGTCTAAGAGTGAGTGTTTGCCTCAGTCTGCTGTGCAAGTTGAGTGAGGCTTTGCATGCATGAAGACGTTCTGGACAGGCTCCGACATTGCAGTGCAAGCACCTGTGGCTTTTCGTGATGCAGCTCTTGTGGGCAAGAGATTTTTCTGAGTTCGTCCTTCGGCGGCTCCAATCATGGCCTCCAATAACCTGCCGCCTGGGATGCCAACGGTGGCCGATATGCAGAAGCTCATGACTTCCCTGGCCCAGATGCAATACATGATGCTCAGCCAGGGACAGGGCCAGGGCCAGGGCAGCAGCCTTCCTGCCCAAGGGGAGCAGCAGCCTCCTCTAGAGACCGCCCCGAAGACCGAGGAAACGGACCACGAGGCCCCGGAGGAGGCGAATGCCGAGACTGGCCATGAGCCCGAGGGCGAGGAGGACACCCAGGACTTCGAGGAAGAGCAGGAGGAAGTCAACTTGGAGCCGGAAGTCCCAAAGGCCAGCCCCCCGGCCAAGAAGGCGACTCAGTACGAGTACGAGACCCCGGACCAGCCGGTGAAGACCATCTACAAAAGAGTTGGATGGTATACCATCGACAAGAACACCAAGCTGGAGATCTTGGCAAGGCTCCATCACAGGCCGAAGAAGGAGGAAAAGAACGATGGTGCTGGTGTGGGCTCTGTTCGGGAGGTCTTGAAGCCGAAGCCGAAGGTGCTCCCGGTGAAGAATGCCGTGCCGGAGCCGCCGGGTCCCCCACCGCAGAGGCTGGAGCTTGCACAAAGAAACAGAATAAGAATACGATTAATAAGTGTCTTTCTTTGCCACTTGCCGCCCCGCAGGAGCAAACGCGAGAAGGAGGCGGACCACTACGGCAGCAAGCGAGCTCGTGGCTCTGGTTCCGGTGGCCATGGTTCTCGTGAGAAGAAGCACCGGGAACGGCACTAGCAGCCAGTAGCAGGCTGCGGAATAGGGCATTGTGTTACCATGCCCCGACAAAGTTCGCAGTTCAATGCCTGGCGACAAAAGAAGTCTTTCGTCTTTGCTTCTGCAAGTAAGCCTGGCCTTGCATTGCATTCCAGTGGCCTAGTTTTCTTGTCTTGCAGGAGGCCCAGAAGGATGTGAAGCAGGCTTCGTTGGACATTCCTGCAAGCACTCCTTCCGTCTCGAAGCAGAAGAAACGCAGCATCGAGCCGGAGGGCGAAGGTTCCTCCACCAAGCGGCCCCGGTCGCTGTTCCAGACTCCGACTCCTCGCACCAAGGTCAAGAAGGAGAGCGAGGAAGATGAGCAGAGTGATCAGTCGGATCGCGAGAGCCTGGGCGACATGGAGGGCGAGGACAACGACCTCTTCGGCGAAGGTCGCTTTGCCTTGAAAGGTGCTCCCGAGCCAGCCGAGGCCCCAGGCAAGACCAAGGAGGAGCCGAAGGAGGAGTTGCACGACAAGCCAAAGGAGGAGCCGCAAGGGGAGGAGCCAGGTGTAAAGGACGAGCACTGGCAAAGCCTGGACGACGACATGAAGGCCATGCTGCAGACGCTGGAGGGAGAGCTCCTGGATGCTTTGCCCACGAGTGCCTCCGCGAAGCTTTGCTGAACGGCTGTTGTTGTGCTTCTGTTGTCTTCACACGCGAGACAATGAATGTGCTATCCGTGTGCTTGCTGTGGATGATTACCTAAGGAATGATGTTCGACACTTCGTCAAGATCCTCTGCGAAGAAGGAATCCTCACTTTGAAAGATGCCCTGGAATTCCTGGCTGATGCAGACGGTCGCTGGGCTCAGCAGAAAGCTTGAGCAGGTATTTTTACTGAGCTGACCTTATGTCTTGAACCCGAGGCTCCTGGATTGAAGATCTCGGCGAACAGTCTCTGCGATCCTTTAAGAGCCTCACTATGCGGGGAAAGAAGGCTTTCACTGACTGGCCCAAGAAGTTGAAGGAGTGGACCGAAGCAGTGCTCTGTCTCATGTTATGCATCTCTCCGTCAGTTCTTGTCCGCCAGGAGATGGAAGCTGCCAAGACGGAGCCGTGAAGCTGGGGCTTCGGGCATTTTGACAATTTGTGGCAAGCCGCTTGTCTCTGCTTTGTGTTAGTTGTCACAGATGCAGTGATTTTGGTTCCACGCTTGCGAGAGCTACCAGCAGCTCTGCTCTGCCTTAGACTCGGCAGCAGACCTGGGTGCAGGTGTGGCTTGCAATCCAAAAAGACGCAATGCCTCCCCAGCAGGATCATTCTCCGATATGTTGCCTGTCAGACCACGTTGTGCTTGGCAGCTCTGTCTTGTTGCCCTCTTCTGTCTATGTGTGTGGACGGGTGTCTGTTGTGGTTTGTCCGTCTGCACGAGTGTGATGTATCTCTTACGGATATCCGCCAGTCGCTTCCTCGTTCTCCCTCATTGCTCGATGTTTCCATACATCACCAGGCGGTTTTTGCTCCGTCTTCCTAGCGAGGTTGAGTTCTCATCGCGAATACATAGACTCCATTTTTGTTTCCGTGCCTCATGATCTCACTCTCTCACTCTCTCTGTCTCTCTCTCTCTCTCTCTCTCTCTCTCTCTCTCTCTCTCTCTCTCTCTCTCTTTGTCTTTCTCTCTCGCTCGCTCTCTTTTCGTGGCCCTATCTGACAGCATCTGTCTGTGACGGTGTTCCTTCGCCACTGCACGAGTGCACAGGCATGTGTTTCTGCATCATGAGCGAGTCTCTTCTCCAAAGTGACTGACTTATGGAGATTCTGCTCCGCCGTGCTTCTCTATCTCAAGGATGATGTACGTGATTCAAAATACGGTCGAAGGGCAGGTGTCTGAGAGTTCTGTCTAGGTGTGACCAGATGTGGTAATGACGGGTAGCCAGATCTGAGCTGACTGTCGCAGACCACAATTTGACAAGACAGACCAAAGCGACATCATTGATGCGAAGTCTTAGCAGAAGCAGTGCTGTTTCGCTCAGAGCCACTTGTGACAATGTCGTTGCTCTCCTCTTCGGCCTCGTGGATGCCAAGGCCAGGAGAGACTGTAATGTCTCGGTTGCCAAGACCCCGGACAGGTTTGGTTTCTTTCGCTGTCCGAATAGAGTCTCGCTGAAAGAAACACATACCCACACTAACAGAAACACACACACACACACACACACACACACACAGAAACACATGCATACAGAGGCACCCGCACACACACACGCCACAGACGCAAACTGGTACACAGACACACACACACACACACACGCACGCACACACACACACACACACACACACACACACACGCACGCACCACACACACACACAAACACACCACAGACACACGCAAACAACACACACAGACACACAGACACACACACACAGACACACACACACACACACACACACACACAACACGCCCAGACAAAAACACACACGCACAGACGCACAAACACACACACACACATGGACCGCATGCACTCACACCCACACACACACACGCACAAACGCATGCAGAAACACGCAAACGCATGCCCGCAGCACAAAACCACACACACACACACACACACACACACACCCACAGGCACAGAGACGCACGCACACACACACACACACACACGCACACGCACACGCTCACACACACACACACACACACACACACCTCACCCACACACACACATGCACGCCCCGCACACAAGCAAACAAACCCGCAGCCAGCCAGCCAGTTAGCCTACGTGCCCGTCCACCCACCCACCAACCCACCCACCAACCCACCCAACCCCCCCCCACCCCCATACACACGCACGCACAGACGCACAAACCACACCCACCCACGCATATGCACACACCCAGACGTCCTACCTCCTCACCGGAATGCCTACACCCGTACTGTCTCAGCTTTAGTAGTCAGGAATCAGGTTCTGTTTCGCACCCTGATTTTTTGACCTTGAACCAGTGGAATGATGGCAATTCTCACAGCTTCCAATCAACACCACAGAGGCTTGTCTCCAGAAGCCCTGAACTTGATTTAGTAAACCATTCAGTTCATTTCATATATTCATTATTATTCTCTGGCAGGTTCCTGGGTTCACGTGTCCACATGCATAGGAAATGTTCACCGGAGCTGCAGACAGATGCTGTTGCAGAAATAGCACACGAGGGCAGTGTCAGCACGAGCTCCGGAGCACGGTCTCATCAGTCTGTTTTTTCAGTGCCTGAGGTATTAGCCTTTCAGTCTCCATCTCAGATCATGGATTTGGGGCGAATAATTAATTAATGAATGAATTCAGACCGGTATACGGCGATTCCTGATCCTAAAATTACGGTTTTCCGGGACTCTGATGTCTTCTCGCCAAAACAAAATGCTCCCGGAGCCAAGACGGTCAGGTGATTTGGATTGCAGATTGGGGACCTCTCGAGTCTGTCCAGAGAGAGCCTTGGCTGCCTGAGTTGGGGATCCGATCCGAGCTGGGCTGGCCTGGCACGGAATTTGCCCCTAATGCCTTAGTGCCTGCTGGCTCGACAGGATTTGCCCCTAATGGCTTAGTGCCTGCTGGCTCGTTACAACCTGCTGGCTCGTCACGACTCCGACCCGCGACTCGCCAACCGCAAACGCACGAGCCAGCAGGCACTAAGGATCTAACGGGCGAAATCTAATGGAAGATTCTAAATAGTCATAACGGCCTTCTTTAGGTGCCTGCTGGCTCGATGTCACTAATGCCTGCTGGCTCGACAACCCACAGTCCGCGAGTCGCCAACCGCAAACGCACCCGAACCGCGAGACGCTGAGCCAGCAGGCACTAAGGCCACCTGTCCCATTAGATCCCAGGACTGAAGAATGGAGGTCCTGGAAAGGTGGCTGAGCAGCAAAGTGGAGGAGCTGAGAAGGCCGCCGGGCGGGGAATCCGGGATTTTCGCCCTAATGGCCTTAGTGCCTGCTGGCTCGATTTTACCTAAACGGTTCCAGCCAGCAGGCATTAAGATCAACACCCGACCGTCTCTAAAGGTGCCCAGATGAAGACGAGAAAAAGACCCTGAGACTCCGCTTCACGAAGTTCCTGGATCTTGCGGATGGAAAGATCGAGAAGCAGGAGCCGGTCTCGGAGAAGACTGGCATTGTCAAGGCCTCTGAGTGGGAGGCCCGTGCAGCCCAGGGTTCAATTCCATTGATACGTATCTCTTTTATCTCTTGGCTGAAGTGTCTCGTTGTCTAGTCTCCTGACCGAACTCAATCCGTGAGTCGAGTCGTGGAAAAGCTCTTGGCACTGAAGGTTTTGCGGGATGGCAGCCGCAGAGCAGCAGCTTCAGTGGGCATGCCAATAAGGCCGCGACAGTTCCTGGACTTGCCCCTGGAAAATGCTGTGGAGATCGAAGACTCAGCATCCCCCAGTGCTCCGTCGGCTTCTTCTTTCACTCCCAACAAGGTCTACTACATGCCGAGTCGGGCTGGAGCGAAGTGTGTCTTGCAGCTTCACGATGCTTCGCGGCTGCAATTTTCCATCTGAACCAAAGATGCAATCACACATTGAGACAACGTGTCACAATATTCGCACGAGGTGCCAGACTTGATGTCACAGACCAGTGGGTACAGGCTTCTGCTACGTACCGAAGAAGTGTGGAAATTGCTGGCACTGCGAACCCAGTACTGCAACTGGTACACCCGACTGAGCCTAGTCATGAAACGGTGGTTTTGTGTTGTCACTTACGACAGTCAAGTCTGAACCAAGATGATGTGGATCGTTGCATTAGATAAAAAATACAAACTAAGGAGCGAAGGGAACACGAAGGACATCGCCACCGATTGGCAGATCGACTTCTGGATCCACCTGGTTCGGCCCCAGAGTTACAAGGGCCAAAAAAACCTGGAGACCTCCGTGAGGATCAACTTCGAAGGTATGACCTTCTTGGGTTTCTTCTTCACAGTGACTTGGATTCTGTGCTTTCTGATTTCTTGTTTGGAGACTCGACTGCTTCCTTCGGCTTTACGGAGACATTAGATGAGTCACTGACTGAGGCTGGCAGCTCTCTGCAGGGGCGATCTTGCAAGCCTGAGCTGCAGAAGTCCACGCTGCGAACTCTGGAACTTTTCCTTGAGACTTTTGTACCTGGCGACATCACCTTGCAGCTGCTCCCCCAGGTGGCTGCAAGCGCCATGGCTGCAAACCGCCGTGACACGGGCGACCGATTCTGGTAATCTACCTTCGCCTTTACGTCCCAAGGCGAGCTTCGCATGCACGGCTACGAGGTGAACCTCGAGCAATGGACCCGGACCCTCCAGTTCTTGGGCTGGTTCGGGAGGCTGCTGCTGTTGCTGCTGCAGCCAGCCATGTCTTTGGATTCTTGCATGATTAATCAGGTTTTCCTGTCTCTGTTCAGGTGGTCCAAATGCAGAGCATTTCCTTCACATGTCCAGAAGCTCCAAGCAGGCAGCTAGGCTCCATCATCAGTGTGTCGCTGCTCCGAGAGACTACTTCCAAGCCTTGTGCATTCTGATGTGGAGCAAGGTGTCAAACTGGCTTCAGTGGTATGGTTCATCTTGCGAGTTCCTCGCGATGAGATGGTCTGCGAGGACCTTCAGTCATGCCTTGTTGCACCTGCTGTATGAATACTTTGTTTTTTCATGAGCGGACTTGGCCTGATCTCATGGACAAGCAGCAGATTCGAGTTTGGATCAGGGTCGTGTCCCAGTTCGACGAGTCCAGAAAAGGCTTATTCATGGGCTCTGCCAGAAGGCAGAGGTTCATGCTGCCGAACACATGCGAGAGACCATGCCCAAGCCGGAAGCAGAGCATCAGCTGCACCCGATGAAAAAGAAACCTAGTGGCATTCAAGGCTGCTGCATTCATCAATGTCTTGCTGCTTGTGCTTCTCTTGTTTCCCATCGATCACTTCCGTGGCCAAGGGACGGCCGTACGCTCCAACGGGAAGCCAAGCCGAAGTCCATCTTCGCTTTGCAGCGATTCCTGGCCAAGCCTGCCGGGTTCATGAACAGATCCGACGACAACACGCTCGAGAGCTTGGGCCTGTCGGAGATCCTTGTGTCTCATGCTCACAGGACCGGGTGCCTGTCCGTGTCCGCTTGCATCAAAGGTGTGCTTCTGGTCTCGTCAGGCTGAGCTGCGATGTTCTTTTCCACTTCTGGAACAAAAGCTTCGATCAGCTTAGTCGGGTGGCTCGGTGGCCATTGCTTAGAAGAAGCCATCACAAATAACACCCCGCGAGTGCCGAGGTTGTAGAAAAGCAGAACTGCAAGAGTGTCCTCCTGATGTCTGATGCCTCTCCCAAAGGGAAGCTGGATGACTCTCGGCTGGATTTCCTGCATGGTTGGATCACCAAATCTTTGGATGATAAGATTCCAGCGATTTTTTGCGGCATGTGAGGTCTGGTGCCCCATTCTCTTTGCCGGCGACCTGGCCGTGCTGGGCCCCTTGCAAAAGATGTCGGCACTTTTGCCGAGCACACCGTGAGCGACACGGTGAAGATGAAGGAAGCCCAACGAGTGGCCGACAACTTCGCAGCCCAGTCTGTAGAGCCGAACCCGGGGAGAAACAAGAAATTGTGTCTTTGCTGCGACAAGACAATGGAGTTGTTGCTTCCCTTATTCTTTAAAATGAGATTCAATGCTGTCGAGGCCAAAGGTCCTCGGCCTCATCAGACAACGACGTCTCGCTGCGAGGGAGGAAGTGCAGGCTGTCATGCACATACTCAGTCTTGCAGGCCTCGACTTCCGGCTGTCCGAAAGGCAGCTGAGGCCCCCAGACCTGAGGAATGGCGAGATCCGCCTGACGGATGCATCTTTGGGGCCGATGCTGTGGCACACGGAGTCAGGGGCGGTCCAATGGGACGCAGTCCTTCCTGAGGACCTTCAGGAGCTTCGGCTGGTGTTGGCCCCGGATGAGGGGGGGCCCTTATGGGCCGGGTTCCAATGGCTCGCCAAGAGGGGATACCGCATCAGTTTTCTGCCGGATCTTATGTACCTTGGCTTTGGTTCAGTTCATGCATTCAGACTTCAGACTCAGACTGTTGTGCGGTGTTGGAAGCCCCAGCCATGACATCAATTCATTTCATTCATCATAATTGCCTCAAGGCACAAGCTTCAGAACAGCTATCTTCGCCTGCTGAAGTGCACGCCGTCCGTGAAAAGACTCTTGGTTGGAAATCAGCCCTATGAACCCTGAACCCTAAACCTAGTAGATGCACTGAGTTCTGACGCCGGTCATGCTAAAGCATAAATACTAGCAGGTTCAAGATGGTGCACACCCTGCTCACAAAGCAATCATTGAATCAACCCGCGACGTCCCTGAACGATCGTTTGTCCTGGCCTCCCAGACAAGATCAGGTTGAGTCGTTCAACAAATGTTGTGATGTACTGCTGGGTCTTCGCTCAACAAGGAGAGTCTCTCACAGGCTTTGGTCATCCTGTCAAGGGAAGAATCAGACGCCGCAAGGGAATGTATATTGACGGAACGCAACCCAAAGCTGCAATTCCGATTGCCTCCTCTGCCTGACAAAAGTATTGTGTCCTGGCATCTGCCGAAGAGACTGAGTCACCGCAGCAATTGTGTGGGGCTGCTACTAAGACGGGACTTTGGACGTCCGAGTCTTCTGTGAAGAGCTTTTTAAGCCTCAGCCTCAGGCTCGAAGCTATGTGTAGCTACACATCAGCGACAGGTCGGAGACCTTTCCCGAGAAAACTTTGCACGCCGTACTGTTTCTACGGGCTTTATTTCCTAGAGAGTATCAGCTGAGGGTCGTTTCCGCAGAAAAAGTATGCACGCCCTTGGTCGCATCCTCTAGCTGTCCGCTACTAATTTACTAAGAGCCCGCCTCTGGCATCTGATGTTAAATGGTGCAAAAATAATCACTGCAAGACATGCAACTGGAGATAGCGAATCTTGTCCATGTGGAGACCCGTGCAGTCTGTAGACCTGAGGAATGTACACGCTTACATCTTGGCTCATGCGAGCCAAGCGGGCACCGTGGAAAACTTCAGCCGTAGGGCAATCCTGGCGGGAAAGCGGTCAACGCTATCTTCAAATTGCACCTTGGCTGCAGTGCCCAGCTCTGTTTGTCGTCATGTCCCGCACGAAGAGACCCCCAGGCCACCGAGGACGATTCCTTGATGCAGTTGTTTGGGCCCAGCATCCTGAAGGAGTTCCTTGTCGTGAGACGATTGCGATTGTTGTCATATACTCATTTTCCTTTCCCTTTTAACACTGCTCAGGAACGGGTTCCCTGCCGATTTGGGAAGTCGCGAGTCTTTCGAGAAAGTTTGCGAGATTCTGGGAAATGCGACAAGGCCGCTCGCCAAGGCATCTTTGTGACGAGTGCACAAAGATCGTGAGTTCTATCCGCGAGCCAGACCTGAGGTCTGTGGCTTCCCTCTTCGACCGAGGGAGGTGGATCAGTTGGGGACACGCCGCCCGCAAGTTCAAGAGAAGCTACTCGTGCACGCTCTTGATGGTGTACTGGGGGTGTCTTGAAGAACCCTGTCTGAACTTGTCTTCTGCTAGCCTCTGTTCTTTTTGATTCCGGGTCGTCTCATGTGTCCAACAAATAATGAGTCAGGAGGGTGTCAACCCCTTCGGGGGCACCGACGGAGCGAAACAGACCGGCGACTCCGGCGAACAGTACGACAAGATCGTCGATCTGTGTATCAGAGCCACTTGCCTGAAATACCAGTTCCAGCTGACTGTTTTGACTCTGTCATGTTCAAATCAAAGTAATTAATAAATAGGAGGTGCTCAGATATCAATTGCATAGGCCCTTGTCGACGAGAGCTCCCACGACCTCTACAGATCCTTGGAATTCCACTCCCGCCCCTGGTGCGACCTCGGCATCCAGATCGCCGCTGGGCTCTAGATTACCGCGAAAGAAAGAAGAGAGAAGAAACCCGGGAGAAGAGAGTGTGTCGTGTGTCGTCTGTGGAGCCCTGGAGACTGACTTTGTGCTTAGACAGCTTGCATATGACTGCCGGCAACCAAGCAAGCGAACAAGTCCAAGCTCATGGCGGAGCACGACCATGCCCTCTTCCTCCAGGAGTCCTTCGACGGCAAGGTCGCACGACATGTTCGGGAAGCCTTGGGCTCTGAAGCTGCTTCGTATCTGGACGCCCCACCCGATGTGGAGCTGCGAGACAACGGCTTGGTGGAGGTGACTTGCCTGCAGCTTTGCTCTTGTTCCTTCGAAAATCTTCTCTCCCTGAGACAGCACGATCGCAGACATGATTTGGGATGCTTGTCCGATGAAGTCTAGATGACTGGCTGTGTCACAGGGCATTCCATACTCCTGAGGGAGCGACACTGTCACCAGTCCGAATCTTGCAAGCTCGACAGACCTCTGCCGGTCTCCACCTTCTGAACGCTATGGTTGGGCAGTCAGAGAAGACTCGTACTCGTTGAGCCAACTAGTATGAACACCGTTTCCCGGCTGATCATCGAGACGAGTCAAGACACGAGGAGACAGTGCGGCTAATCCGCAGAGTTTTCCCAGCTGTCGGCCTGGGTTTCCTGATTGAAAAGAAGGGGAAGAAGACGCTATATGTCTTAAGTAAGAAGACGGGCTCTGGGCATTGGCTCTCTCCTCCACACCAAAGGTCCTGAGACTTGACAAGTAAGCAAGAAAGACGTTGCTTGCAGGGCATTGAATGGAAGCCTGCAAAAGTTAAGCCAGAGGGGCTAGCTATTCTCAGCTTGGGTCGCCAAGGGTGCCGAGACATCTTGAGAGACAGTGAGTCGAGACGTGTCCAGTTTCAAGCCATAGTCTCTTGGGAGCCAGAGACAATGCCAGCTGCAGAAGAACGCATTCCACTGCGAGATAACGTGCACGAAGCGAGACTGAGACGTACATCATCGCAGCGATCAGTCCTGGCAAACGAAACACTCTGCACCTCATAGTTTTGCATAGCAATGCAACGGACTCTGTTTTTTTAAGTGTTGCTTAAGTGGCGGTTCCGCCGGACTGCATGATGTCTCTCTGAAGAGAAGTGGAGGTTCCGGGCTGTCCTTAACAATCCACTGTGCTGGCCCGATACCAAAGAAACTATATAGAGTCTGACACTCGCACATCAGTTCGAAGTTCAAAGTCAGTTGGCTCTTTCGATTTTGACACGACTGATTGTAACACGTGCACGACGTGTTCAGAATTGAGACTACGACATGGATTAGCAGTTATGAGGACGTTTGCATAAGAGCTCAGAAAAGACCAAGGTCGTCAGTCGCCGTGGCTACGTCAAGCAGAGGCTTCTGGAAGACCACTTGACGGCCACCCTCGCCTGCTGCTTCGAGCTCGAGAGCTACGCCAGACACCTCAGAATGGCACCGCACGCCTGTGCCAGTCTCTTGGCCTCGGGCACCACTGGCGAGAGCCTCTTGCCAACACAGACAAACTTGCTTGAGGCCGTCAAGGCCGAATGGAGCTTGGTGGTGCGAATGGAGGGCAAGGTGGCGACCGCCGACCTCTTGCATCAGCTCTGCCCCTACGTGCTGCACCAGTGCTATAGGGAGCTCATGTCCAGCTTGGCTGCTGCGGACTTCTGCCTGACTGCGGAATGCCGTGAGATGGTCTCTGCTTGGTATCCCGGTCTCTCGCAGTCGTCCAATGTCGAGGACGTGTTCAAGTCGTGCGAGGAGGCCTGCCGTCGCACGAAAGCTGGAGCGGCGAGCATGCCGAACTTGTCCATCGTCGCGATGAGGGCCTTGATGCAGAAAATGACAAACGGCGAAGGCCAAGCTCGATCTGTGGTGCTGGAGGGTTCTGATTTTGAAGGCCCAGAGGTGAAAGCACTCAAGTCAAAGCTGTTCTCCCCGGAGAGCTTTACCGGCGGACTCCTGGAAAGAAACTATGTCATCTTTTGTCTCCGTTAACTAACATCTCGAACCTAGCCAGAGGCTCATTGACAAAGCCTGCTGCTCATACACAATAACAATAACTGTTCTGATGCAGACATGCACAGACTCTTGGCGGCCTCGTGTCAGTGATTGAAGCAAGCTCGCCAGCCTCCTGTGGCCATTCCTCTTTGCATCGTGACTTTGTGTGTCTCAGATGTCTCGAAATCTCCAAGAGCAAGGGCAAAAAGCAGTATATATCATATGTGCATGTCTGTCTGTGTGTGTGTGTGTGTGTGTGTGTTTGTTGGTATTCAACCCGCTCCCTCTGTCTGCAAAAACTGAGGAAAAGAGATGTCCCTGGATGACCTCTTGAAGGACAACACCGGCACGACTGCCTTCAACCACAACAAGCTCCACCTCAACAACATGCAGGGACTTCTGCTGGCCGACAAGATCCTGGCCTGAAGAACAGCCAGACTGTGGCTTTCCCGTGCTCTTGCTGTTTGGAGAGTAAATAAGCTAATCTGTATTGATACTGAGGATGGGCATCGATGTGGAGGTTGCCGCCAGATCGTTCTGGGTGCCTCCGCTTTGCCAACGTGGCATGCTGTTCAGTCTTGAGAAGGGGGGCAAGTACTTCCTTTCTGTCGGCTCCACCCCAGCTGTTTGCCATGCATCCTGCCTGCAAGACGTTAGATGTGCAGAGTTCTGGATCAGACAAGATTTTTTTTGCTCTGCCCCACCGAATCTACGGAAAGGCACTGCCCCTGCAAGAGCTGGACTTGCAGTTCTGTGGAGAGCTGCCGCCCGAGACGCTGAATGAGCAGGAGGTGCCCACTTCGAGCCGGGAGCAGCAGGATCCTTTGCAGACCAACGAGTTTGTCAGGGCTCTGAAGGTTGAGGTGAACGAGTACCTTGGCTTCAGTTCATAGCTGAAACAGAGAAGTTGGGGTTGCATATGTTTTCGCATGTTCACATCACAGGCAGTTGTTCATTGTTCATTCAGCTCAATCATGAAAATGCTGCAAAGGAAGCCCTTGCAGTTGCTCCTCACGAAGTTCTGGCAGGCTGCCTGGAAAAAAGACGCAGAGCTTAGGTTCTGTTTGTGACCACATTCTTTGCAAGATTGAGAGCTGATCCTGAGCTGAAGGTGCGAGTCTTCAACTACTCGGTGCACCTCAGCCCGGATGGCTATCTTCTGCGACGGTGCCAGAACGACCTGCCTCTGGTGGCAGCTCTGATGAAATCCGGAGGGATTCTGAGTCTGACTTCAGATGCTCTTTCACGCGTCTTGGATGAAGCAGGGTCAAGTCTCAGAAAGAGCGCCACAAAGACTCAGAAGATCCGTGCCGTTTGCTCCTTGGCTGTCGTGAAACAGCACGTGAAGCAGAGCCGCATCGATGAGATTCTGGAGCATTGCCAGCAGCTGGATGACAAGCGACTGCAGAAGATCGATGCCGCTGCCGCCGATGCCGAAGACGATGAGGAGGAGCAGCCGGATGACGAGGCAAACGTTTGCACACAGTGCAGACACACCTGTGTTGTCTCTGCTTCAATCCTTTCGCATGTCGCAGTCATAACTAGTACTGCTGGTCTTCGAAATCAGTGCATCGCCCAAATTTTGCTTCATTGAAAAATCCATACTGACTGCTTTTCTGATGCAGGCACAGGATCCACTGGAACCCCAGGATCCTGCATGGGCAGCTGCTGCAGAGCTGCTGCGAGGCATGGAGCAGGAGAAGACATGTGCATATTCAGTTCATTGACTCTTGATTGGAAAACCCAACCTCGTCCCCGCGAGACATATTGTCATGAAATAGTAAGAGACTTCATGATAGCCACCGCCCACAAAGTTTGTGATGCCACTTTGCAGGAAGAGCAGAAGCACAGCAATCTCTTCGATGCAAGTGATGGTGCTCAGGCTGTGCCCTGGCTGCATACTGAATTAGCAAAGTATTTTATTTATTATAAATCTAAGTTCGCCGTCTTAGCATATGCAGTCTGGTCATTCTTCATACTGCACATATGTGCAAGCCTTGGCAGTCTATGGTTTAACACCCGCTCGACGAAACAAAGGAAGATGCTCAGAGGCAGAACACAGATGGTCAGAATCGCGAGAAGGCAGAGAAGGGCCGCTCAATGCTTGTGAGCACTGCTGCGATTCCTGCCTTTCTTGTCTCGAAGTATGGGCTCCTGGAGAAGGACAAAGTCGTCTTTGTTCACGCCGTGACCAAAGACCAAGTTCTGCCTCACTTCCAGGCCCGTCTTCTCGGTGGCAAGACGTTCGAGGGAAAGCCGCTGGTCTGCTGTTTGCATCATCTGTTTTCTTGTTTAGTCTGCTAAGTTAGATTCAAATCTTAGCCATGTGGAATGTTTTTGCCTTTGGC